ATTCATCATGTCCATTAACATGGTCATTTGTTCTTTTGAATCAGCCTGGAATTTTTCTGCATGATCAATCATTTCTTGTTGAGTCTTGATAAGCTGCTCTTGCAGTTTCTCGATTCTACCAACCCTGGCTAAAATCTCATTCATGGCTCTTATCATTCTTTAAGAAGACCGAGTTAGTCCCAATTTGATTTTAGAAATTCTGTCATGGAATCCTCCACGAATTATTCCACGTTGTCATGATTAAATGCATGTAAAATAGTTTGAAATAAAATGTAATCATGCAAAGATGCAAATGTAAAAATGAAAATGTAAATACAAACGTAAAAATGCAAAAATGCAAAATGCAAAATGCAAATGTAACAATAAGAATGCAAATTGTACAATACAAAAGAAAACATAAAAGTATAATTGCAAATGCAAAATGCAAATGCATGTATGAAAAGGTGTTACTCAAGAGTGATCATCTTATAACAGATTTCATTGAACACAAAATTTTGTGTGCATCAAACAAAACTTTTATATGTAGGGGACAACTTTCAGTCCTAACTTCAACGAAACTTTACATATAGGGGATAACTTTCCCTCCTAAATTCGCTAAGTTAATTTCCATTCATGCTCAAAAGTTGAGTTATCAGTCTGCTTCAATTCCTTGTAAAGTTAGCTAAGTCTATCAACTTATCGACCATATTGCTTGTCGGGACTGCAGCTTCTTCCATGACATTCTCTTTTTCCTTAATCTTCTGTGTCAATTCTCGGAGTTGCACATTTTCCCGTGTAAGAGAAACTTTCTGTCCAAGAAGTTCTTGGAAAGATCTTCATATATGTTGTAATTATTTTTCAGTTTGGTGACCCATGTTATCCACTCTTCTGGGGTATTTCCTATGCCAGCATTTTGAAAGGCTTGACTAATCTTCTGGAAATCTTCATGCATGGTTTCCATTTCTGTGCTCAATTTCTTGTTTTGATCCTTCAAATAACATGATTGAGCTTCATAAAAACCTCATTTATTCTGAATGCCCTGACTGATACTCTTGATGTAGAATGCTTTTGGTATCAATCTAACAGGATCTTTGTGGAATACTTTTGGTATTAATATAACATGATCTTTGTGTACATAACTCACTTCTATCCTCAGAGTTTCCTCAGGATGTCTTTCCTTGGCTGCGTCATATTTTGTTTGATCATAAAACTTTTTGTCCATTTATGAATTCTTTCCAATTTGATAAACAATCGTTTAAGTCAACACCTTTTGGTTATGCCATGATCATGCAATGCAAACAAAAGAAATCAATATAAACAAGTTAGAGCAAAATAACATGTATGGGAAAAAATAAGTAAAAATAAAATGGTAAGTACCAACTAATGAAAGAAAAATTCTATCTATTAAGTTATAAATCCTAACCTCATGCTTTCTAGTTCCATGCTTTGTTTGGAAAAATTAACCTAACTGCATGATTTCTAGTTCGCATGCATTTATTCAGAAAAAAAGAAAAGAAAAGAAATTAAAAACTAGAGCTTATTTCTCTTTTGTGTACACCTACGGACAGGGTTTTTGTATTGTCTTAGATCAGGAGAATTTCTAGGGTTTATTATATGCAGGGTTTCAGTTCTAAGAGTAAAGGTACCCAAATTGTCCTTGATAGTGCCCCCTTGGGCTGCCAACCCTCAATCCTAGTCCAATACAAACTTAAATGGATCGAGTTCAATTCGAGGGGACACATTTCTCTATGCCTGACACGGAGAATAAATTCTCACGAAGACATAGAGTATATGAACCCTGAAAGCTACTTGCTAGGTCTTACACAGAGAATAAATTCTCACGAAGACGTCGCTTTCACTCCCACTTAAAAAGGACAAGCTTGATTATAAAGCTTATGTTATGCAATGTATACGAGTTGTGTGTGAGGAGAAATGTTCAAACCTCTGACAAACAAATAAATAATGAAATTTAATACTTGAAAATAAAATAAAAATATTAATAAAAAATAATATACATATAAATATTATGAAAATAGTAAGTATATATAAAAATTTTAAAAAGAAAGAATTATAAATTAAATATATGAATTTTTAATTTCTAATTAATAGAGACAATTTATAATTTTGATTTTAAAGCTTGACCAGGTCCCCAGCGGAGTCGACAAGCTGTTGTAATCGGTTTTCGTCTGGGCACGAAATTTTACTTGGCAGGAAAATAATGTGGATAAAAAATGATTTTGATTTAAAAAATGTTTTAAGAGTCGCCATCTACCTTTTTGAGTTAGGTAGGTCAAATACCTAAAAATTATCTTTTAAAAGAGTTTTTAAGAAAGCATCAGTTAAAAGATAAACTGATATGCGTTTAACCAAAAATTCATTCTTTTTAGAAATAAAAAGGGATTCATGGTCGGTTACGTTTAGGAAAGGATTAGCACCCCCACAACGCCCAAAATTGGTACCTGTTGATTATAAATTGTCTCTAATAATAGAATTTAGGATTTCGAATATGAATTTAATTTACAATCATTTTATTTCAAATTTAATATGATATTTATAAGGAAAAAAATTATATATATATATATATATATATTTAGGGTTTTGTAAATAGGACATTTATTTATTTACAAATATCAGAAAAGGACATCTAGTTGCTTTAAGACTGTCTTTTCTTTAATATTAATAAATAAATAAATATTAATAAGAATATAATAATTTTCCTAAAAAATAATGAAGTAAATATATATATAAGCAGGATATTTATTTATTTTTAAAATATCAGAATAAGACATCTAGTTGCTTTAAGACTGCCCTTTCTTAGTATTTAAAAATAAATAAATATTATTATTTAATCAAATTATAAAATTATAATATTGTATTTCATGTAAATATTAGTGATTAAAACATAAAAATAAATAAATACTATTTTTAAAGTATAGGATAATAAAAATAAAATTAATGCTATATGATATTTTATTATTAATATAATATTAAATAAAAAAAATAAAAGAAAAGAAATTAAAAGCAATAATATTAAATTGAAAAATATATAAAACTTCATGGTCAAAAATGAAAATTAGTGATTAAAATGTAAAATATAAAAACCTAAAGTCCTAATTTGAAATATATAAAATATGGGTATTGAAAGTGTAATTTAACCATAATTAATAATACGAGACTAAAATAAAACATATTAAAATTATAGAGGACTAAATATAGTATTTACCCTAATTATATATGAATATACAGATAAGGATTAAATTATAATAAAATAAAATGCAAGAACAAAATTAAAAGGTATATAAATTAATTTTAGTGACTAAATTAAAATATCAGAGAACTCAGAGGAACTGCGCACGTCATTTTCTCATTAGGGAAATTACGCATACATTCCTCCCCCAAAACGACGCCATATAGGGAGGGTATTTAAACCCGAAATCAGGCCCCTAGGGCCAATCTTTTTCATTTTTTCTTTCTTTCTCTCTCTCTAAAAGAAAGAATTAAACATTCTCTCTCGCCTCTCTCTTTAAATCCCTCATCGGAGGAAAAAGGGTTCCGATCGGCAACCACACTCCGGCGCCGACCACCACTGCCACGGTGACTGGAAATTACAAAATTTCCCCCAAATTAAAGTCTATTCAACCCTAAAGCCAAATCTGGCCTCCCTCAGTTCTAAAAGTCTCTCAAATAGCCTAGATCTATAGTTTTACCTTCGAAATGCAATGATTTCCGATGGCGTGGGGAGGCTCTCCGATGATCGCTTCTAAGTTTCTCGATCTATTTCCTTTATTTTTCTTTTCGATGTTCTGTCTGCCGTTGGTTGCTGTCGGTTTTAGTGGTTGTGGTGGCTGTTGATTCTCCTCGTTCTCGTCGTTGGTTTCTTTGTTGCTCTCCTCTTTCTTTACAGGTTCGGTGGTGGCTTTTATAGCCACCACAGTGTCTTCCTCAGACCAGTTAAAGGAATGGTCGGTGAGTCACCGAACTATGGTGGTGACTCACCATAGGGTAGCAACGTGGATGGTGACAAGGCGCTTCTAGAGGCTTCATCGAGGCGGCAGAAGGTGGCTGAGACACCTGGCAGCAGTTGGTTGAAGCAGTGGTGTCGGCAGCAGGGAGTTGGACCATCTGGCGTCAGAGGCGTCGGCGACGTAGATGTTCTGGAAGCAGCGGCAGCGACCGCATGGTCCTAAGGTTATGATACCCTAGGGTTTTCATCTGGAAGCTTCTGGACCGTTGGATCTTTCCAGATCCAACGGCTGAGATTGTTTGGCGGCTGGGATGAGATGGAAACCCTAATCTGGTTTTAGGGTTTAGCTGGGCCGGATCAAGTTGGGTCTGGATCCGTTTGTAATTGGGCTCCGAGTTTTGGGCCTTGTAATATTTATTTAATAATAATAATAAGAAATAATAATAATAATGTATAATAATAATAATAAATAAATAAATAAAATAATAATAATAATAAAAGCAAACTAAAAAATTAGTGTCTACTAGATCGAGTTTGAGTACATTTTACTATGCATTGTATGTTGTATCTCACGTGGTGGAGGGGACTTCCAATAGAAAAAGAAAAGATATACTTATTACTGAAGCTTGATCTAGAGTTATCTGAAAGCTTGACTTTTGGTAAGTGCAATCAATCATAATTGTGTGTCTTGATATATTTTTTTAAAGAAAAAGTGAAATCAGAACCGAGGGAAATTTTAAATTTAAAGATCTACACAAATGGTATGCTATTTATGTGTCAGCCAAGGCTTTCCAATGATTCACGATATAGAAGTTTACAATCTAAATCACGTGAGAGAATTTGGAAGAAAGCAAAATAAGTGTATATCTACTAATCACCAATTTATTTTTTGAAAGAATACTAATCACCAAATTACTTGTCGAATTGAAGCACCTTTCCTATAAAAACAAGAAAAACAAAAATAAAGTGCTGGATTTTGTTTATGAATTAATAACTTATATTGACTAATCCAAATTAAATTTTGCATAAACGATTGTCCCAACAACAATGATTGCTCAATTTATGTTCTCTTCCTTGCCGTTGAAGCAGTGTTTCCATCGAACAATTCCTCAATGTACGTCTCTATATCTTCAGGCTGGAACTTGATGTACTTCTCTGTTTGTCTTCCGGGAGTCAAGTACCCTGAGAATCTTCCCAAGAATGATCTATATGCTGGTATGATCACACCCGTTATCGAAACCCTCAGCTCCGATTGCATTTGCTTATCGGAAACCACCCACAAGCTTTGAGTCTTGTGGATTTCTTCAAACATGGCGTTAAATCTCTTGAACCTCTCTTTCAACACCGGCTTCACCACTTTCCCGTTCACGTTCAAGCCCTCCAGGTTTAAACAACCCAAGAGCTTCATCCATGTCTCTCTTTTGTAACTCTGATGGTAGTTCCGAAGCTCGAACGATTTTTTTCGATACCAGTTGTCCCCCATTGCTTGACGGATCTCTGGCGATGCTTTGATCTTTTGCAATATGTAACGTCCATTGTTCATCATGAAAATGCTGCTCAACGCAACGTCTTTGTAAAGCTTCGACTTTGCATCCAGAACCGAATCCAACGAGTCCATGATTTTTATCAAATGGCTTGAAAATGGGGATCGATTCTCGTCGTCGTTGCTCTGTGAATTGCTTTGACTCGTTGAATCGGCTCTTTCCATCTCCTCATGGTCCTTGAAAATATGTTCCAAGGTATCCCTGTATTCGTCGCAGGCATATTTGAGATAATTCATTGTGTAGCGAGTCAAAGGATGAACTGCTCCTCCAGGAACTTGGGTTCTCCCTGTATCGGATTGGATCAAATTCTTGAAATCACGAAAGATGCAAATGGCCGTCTCACCGATCCTACTACGAGTCGTCGTTAGTTGTTCCTTCAACTCGTTTGCGCATTCTTCAGGAAACAGATTGTCAATCGTGGAAAAATTATCACGCAATGCCTCGTAGATGTCGAGAAACTTGAAAAGTTTCTCCGTGGAACGCTTGCTGACGGAAACGGCTTCGGCGAAGTTAAGGAGTTGAAGAAACAGGACACGAGTGAGGCTGTTGAAGAGGCTTTTAGCTACAGAAGGATCGTCGGAGAAGACAGTTTCGGCGAGCTTCCGTTCCCCGGAGAAGTAGACATTAGCACATGCTTTGAAGGCATTTATCCATGGAGGGATCTCCCTTTGCAATGCATCCCATTGCATCTTTTGTACGTCATCAATACTAATCTTCTCGAATCCAAGCTTGTTCAAAATCTCCTCAATTGCATTCCTCCTGGTCATAATATAAGCCTCGTAGCATTCGAATTCATATCCACCTGAGATCATCTCCATGGCAATTTTATTCAAGGTGGCCAAAGCTTCCTGAGAATACCCTGGAAAGTTTGATAATACCTCATTTGATCGAGGAGCTTGATCCTGAGCCTCACCATCCCCAGCTGGTTCATGATTAACGTCAGGTTCCACGATCCTTGATTCTTCTAAGAGAGTCCTGAATTCATCCTCCAAACAACACATAACCTGTTGATGAATCCTTCCAATGCGATTGATCAAAATACCCTGCCTAGAATCCAATTTGAAGATTTCCGAAAGATGTTTATACAGCTTAGACATCTGGTGTGCAACTTTAAGAAACGACCCATCATCGTCAAGCGGGCACCCTTTGGACTTTTCAGGCAATTCATGCTTAGATGCTTTCTCTTCAACAAGATCCAAGTAGTCGTTAATGGAGTCAGGAATCTCTGAATCTGCATCACCCTCCAGCTCCACCAAGGAATGTTCAATATCCTCCCAAGCATTTTCCATGGTGTATTTGATTTGAGGAGTAGCTTCAGCTCCCCCTCCTTTCCCTTCAGTTCCATTATTATTCTGTGGTTTATCGGGTGCAGGCGGGTCTTTTCCATTGGAACACTTAGGGGTCTCATCATCGCCTCCGTTTTTAAAGCTTGGAGACTTTTCCTTTTCCATGGCAAAGGCTGAGGAAACAAAAATGGAAAAAGGTTGAAGAAAAGTAGATGGAGAAAGATGCAAAATAATCGGAGTTATTGTTTGAAAGGTGAAGTTGTGGGGTTTTTAATCTGTTTTTGGGAGGGTTGACTAATAGCGTTTTGGTGCTTCCCACGATCTCATCTTCTCCACTTTCGTCGCTGCTTCTGCTCACTCAATCATTACATTAATTTCTCAAACAAACTACAATGTCGTTGCATATTCAGATCATCCACTCCGCTACACACCACGTTTTATGACACTTCATTTAATACATTATCTGCTTATTCGCCATCAAGAGTCTGAGCAAACTGCACCTTTGTTTCTTAATTCGCAACCCAGATTGAGATTGGATCCAACCCTGAATTTTTAACTCCGTTCTAATAAAAAAGTTGTCATAAAAAAAACATTAAATTCATGAATCGAAAACACCCAAACTCAAAACAATTGAAATATAAAATTATTTCATCTTAAAATAAATAAATTATAAATTCAAATAATTTAAACATAAGATCAATATAAACCTAAAATCAACTTAAACTTTTAATATAAATGGACTTAATCCCATTTCAAATCAATTTGACTTGGCCTACAAGGTAGAGAAGAGGAATGTAAAGCGATGGTAAAGTAGAGACAGGAGTGGGAGGTTTTTCATTTGGGCTTTCCTTGGGATATTTTCAGTGGGAGTGATGCCTTCAAACAGATTCATAAATTGCTTTGCTTTACCTATTCCTTTCTAGTAGTTAAATGGTCGTTGAAGTATATTTTTTTCAAGTAATAAAATATTCATTCATATTATAAAAAATAATAAAACAATTATTTTTTTAGAAAAATCATAATATTATATTCCCTTGCAAAAATCAGTTACACGCTAAGTGTAAAACCCTGTACTAAACAAACATAGAGAATAAAACCTAGGAAACAGAAGCTGCATCGTCTGCATCTAACAAGGAATCGTAAAAGTAGGTGGGCTTTTCATCCGGCACATAGGAGAGACAAGCGGGACCAAAATATTAGATTATTTAAAAAAAAATTAAAGATTTATTAGATTTTTAAACTCGAAATTTATCATGAACAAGTTACCTTAGTGATTAAGGGGATTATTGTTATCCTTGAGTTCCCGAGTTCAAGCATTGCGTAGGGGTATGAGCATTCATTGTCAAATAGTTGAAAGTCTTCGTACCCATACTAGATTGTATTCACCTTAAATTTATAATAAAAAACTCAAAATTTACAAGACAACTTCTAATTTGTCTAATATTTAAACTTACAGTAACCTAAATTGTAATTAGACTAAAAATTTGAGAACACATACTTAACATTATTTAGTTCGACCGCTACTAGATTAAATATTTAATATTTTTTTCTAATTTTTAAATTTAAATATTTATTTTTACATGAACCAAAATACTATTAAACCAAAATTATATCAAATATACAAATTTTAACATGACTAGGGCCCTTGGGTCCTAAGGGAGGTCCGTCGGTGGAGACAATCGATAGACCTTCCCGAGCAAACACATCAGCTACCATGTTACTAGTCAGACTTGTTGAAAGTCCAACTTTCAGTGGAAAAGATGGAAAAATAATAATAATAATTTCACCAAAAATTTGGTTGGAATAGTAGCTGGAAATTATTTATTTTTGGAAAATGGTAAAATCATTTTTAGTCATTGTAATTTAGGGTATTTACAAATTAATCCTTAAGCTTCAAATATAAATACCCTAGCTCATTTAGCTTCAAAATCATCCCAAAGCATTCTAGCTTTCTTCCAATACTAGAGAGAATTTAGAGAGTTTCTTGAGAGTTATTTTCTCCTTTTTATCAAGAGAGAATTATCAATGTTTTCTCCTAGGTAGATCAAGAGATGTTGTAATTCCGATTTTCTCATAGTGAAATTCTTCTACCGCTGCCCGTGGTTTTTACCCTATATTATTTAGGGGTTTTCCACGTAAATTTTATGTCTTCTTTATCTTCATTTTTATTTTCTCAAATTATCAGTTTCGATTTTGCTCTATCCGATAGCCGTATTCCGCAATAATTGGTATCCGAGTTAGATTAGAGTGTGTAATATACGCTTATTGTCTTTGTGGTTGCCACCAAAAGGTGGACCGTCCAACATAAGAAAGTAAGAAGTTATTACCTATTCTTTGAAGTTTCCAGAGAACTATTCACGATAGTGAAATAGTGGGAGCTATCCGTAAAAGAAGTTATGGCAACAAAATTTGATATTGAAAAATTCAATGGGAGAAATTTCTCATTGTGGAAATTGAAGATGAAGGCCATCCTGAGGAAAGACGGTTGTCTAGCAGCTATCAGTGAAATGCCGATAGATTTCACAAATGACAACAAATGGATAGAAATGGACGGAAATGTTATGGCAAACTTTCATCTAGCATTTGCAGATGAAGTATTATCAAGTATCGAGGAGAAGAAGACAGCTAAGGAGATATGGGATCATCTCACCAAACTGTACGAGGCCACATCGTTGCACAATAAAATTTTCCTTAAGAGAAAATTATACACTCCGTATGTCAGAATCTACTTCAGTGATGTTGCACTTAAACACACTGAACATGTTATTTTCTCAGCTTACATCCTTAAGATGTACAATAGGAGATCAAGAACGTGCTGAACTTATACTTCAAAGTCTACCTGATTCGTATGATCAACTCATCATCAACTTGACTAACAATAATGTCACTAGTCTAGTCTTCGATGACGTTGCAGCTGCTGTTCTACAAGAAGAAAATCGGCGCAAGAACAAGGAAGACAGACAAGTAAATCTGCAACAAGCAGAAGTGTTGACAACGATGAGAGGGAGATCAACAGAACGTGGCCAAAGCAGCAGTCACAAACATGGTAGATCGAAGTCGAGGAGCAAGAAGAATTTAAAGTGCTATAACTGTGGAAAGAAGGGTCACTTGAAGAAGGATTGTTGGAGTATAAAAAAAAAACTCCAATCCACAAGGCAATACCTCAAACACTTCAGATGATGGAGATGCTATATGTTGTGAAGCGTTAACCACCGTGGAAGGTAGAAAGAGATATACAGATATATGGCTCATTGATTCGGGAGCAACATATCACATGACCTCAAGAAGAGAATGGTTCCATCATTATGAACCTGTCTCATGAGGATCTGTGTATAGTTGCAATGATCATGCCTTAGAGATTGTTGGCATGGGAACCATCAAATTGAAGATGTATGATGGAACAATCAAAATTGTTTGAGATGTGCAGCACGTGAAAGGCCTGAAGAAAAATTTATTATCCTACGGATTGTTGGATAATAATGCAAGCAAGATTGAAACACAGAAAGGAATTATGAAGGTGTTCCGTGGAGCGCTTGTGGTGCTTAAAGGTGAAAATATAACATCAAACTCGTATATGCTGAAAGGTGAGACTTTGCTAGAAGCAGAAGCCTCTGTTGCCTCATGTAGTTCAGATTCTAAAATGCTATGACATCAGAAACTTGGACACATGTTAGAACAAGGAATGAAAGTCCTTGTAGAGCAAAAGCTACTTCCAAGCTTAACAAATGTAACACTTCCTTTGTGTGAGCATTGCATAACAAGTAAGCAACACCGATTGAAATTCAACAAATCAAATTCTAGAGGTAAAAGTGTTCTAGAATTTGTTCACTCTGACGTATGACAAGCACCAGTTACATCCCTAGGCGGAGCAAAATACTTTGTCTCATTTATTGATGACTACTCCAGGAGATATTGGGTTTACCCTATTAAGAAGAAGTCAGACGTGTTTTCAACTTTCAAAAACTTCAAGACGCGGGTGGAACTTGATTCTGGAAATAAGATCAAGTGTTTCAGAACAGATAATGGAGGAGAATACACAAGTGAAGAATTTAATGACTTTTGCAGGAAAGAAGGCATCAAAAGACAGTTCACAGTGGCGAACACTCCTTAACAAAATGGAGTGGCATAGTGGATGAACAGAACCTTGTTAGAAAAAACAAGAGCAATGTTGAGGGATGCAAGCTTAGAAAAATCATTCTGGGCAGAAGCAATCAATACCGCTTGTTATTTGGTGAATCGAGCTCCATCAACTGCAATAGAGCTGAAGACACCAATGGAGATGTGGACTGGTAAATCAGCTGATTATTTAAACCTCCATGTATTTGGAAGTATTATATACGTGATGTACAACTCCCAAGAAATCTCAAAATTGGATCCAAAATCCAGGAAATGCAAATTCTTGGGGTATTTGTAACATCCTCAATACCGGGTTAGTGACCCAATTGTAAAGTTTCAGAATTTGGTGACTAAAGTATAAGAATGAAATAGTTCAATGATTATTGGATGTATATGATGAAGGTTAATTAGTAATTATTAAAGGAAATTAAGGGTTAAATGGTCATTTGACCAGAAAGATTTTTATATTTCTTTTTAAGGTAATATAAACTTGGGAATTTGGAGAAACATCCAGAGTTCTCTTCTCCTTTCTTCTTCTTCATACGTGGGAGAGCAAGGCAAAGGTAAGTTTAATTTCAGTTGGTTAATTCTTGAGTTTTAAGCTTAGTTTTGATTCTTTGGGTATTAAATAAGCTTAAGGAAAGCTTATATGGGATTTAAACAATAAGATAAAGGAATTATGAAGGAATTTGCAATATGAGTTTTAAGATGAAATTTTGATATGATATGGTTGTTGAAGTTTTATGGATGAATTTGACTTGCCATCAATCTAATTAAGAAGTATGAAGTGTTAGAATTGGAATTAGAACACATTGAAAATTTGGTATGATTTTTGAATCTCATATGGAATATAGGATTTTGAGGTTTAAGATGAAATAAATGAATATAGATTGGTTTAAGTATGTGTACTAGAGTTAAGAATGAAAAGGGGATGATATATGAAGTGTTTGAGAGAAAATGAAGTAATTTTCGGGGATGAAAATATGATTTCTGGGCAAGGGGAATCGGTACCCATTCAAGGGGAACCGATACCCCTTCAAACGAACAAC